TGTAGCCTATATTTTTATCTTAAAAATGTTAACTTCCACACAATAATATTTTTGACTAACCTTGCTGTGACAAAACAGGGTGTATAGATATCTAGGCCTCCGACTTGTTATAAGAGTTCAGCAAAACCAAGCCGTATGAACTAACGTAAAAACAACCAAACTTTCGTTAGTTTTAGTTTTAGTAAGATTTTACGGCGCTCGCTACTGCATAAGGTCATGTGAGTAGGCCTACATAGTGCATTGTATTCTGAGCGCCAAGGGGTGGATGTGAACAGAGAAGTCCAAAACGGGGAATCAGGCTTACTCTGTTCACCAACATCAATAACTTTATCTGGTGCGTTCATAATGCATAATACTACATTATAAATATGACCGTAGGCCCCTATGCAGTTTTCGAGCGCCGTTAAACTTTTTTCCAACAAACTAAAGCAAACCGAACCAAAATGTAGAGCTGGATCCTGCTCGCCAAATCTGAGAGTGGCGATTCGCGATTCAGTCGACTTCAAAGAATCGCGAGTACGCGAGCGCTGGTGGAACATTAAGCTTCAGGCTCGTTGTATGCGTGAAATGGAACAGTGTCGTATCAACGCCACTTCGCGAGTCCCACTCTTGTTGCACCGCCATCGAGTAGGGGCGGGCACGAGACGAGCCGAGTACTTGTTTCTCGCGAGAAATGCCCTTCCTGTCGCAGCTCGGGCACTAAACTACTGCCCGGTACCGAGAAGTGATACTGCTCGTTGGCTTGACATTACGAGTAACAGCAACGAGAGTGAGAGAGCGATAGGCGAGAAATGACACGCAGACAGTGCCACCCATCACCGTGCCGTCCTGTGTGTGAAACTGAAAGGGATGGGAGAGGGTGGCGAGACGAGGCGAGTGGGGAGTTGATCAGGGCCTAGGCTTAGATCTCCCTACCTTCCTTAACCGCCTGCGCAACAGGGCTAGCCTAGTTTAGATCCCCGCCACGATCGGCCTTCTCGCTAAGAGAATTGCTCGTACTGCGGGGCGAGAAGAGAAATTGGTCACGAGACGAGAAGCATTTCTCGGGACACGAGACGAGAAGCATTTCTCGGGACTGGTACCGGTCCCGGCGAGAAGTAGGACAGCTTCTCGGTCTTCTCGCTCGGGAAGGAAAAAGCGCTTCCCGCCCGTCTCTACCATCGAGACGTCTCGACCGC